ACACAAACTTGTCTGTCTGCTTCTTCTTCTACAATATCAATAGCCGTGATGACATCCTGTAGCAACAGATTTGTGTTTACTCCTACAAGAGCAGTTGTCAAACATGTGAATGGGGCTACATACTCTCATACATCATTGAAGTCTTCATATCTACATATTTTTCATGAATATGCAGCAGATTTACTGCACTTTCCTTTTTCTCAATTTCAATTCTTTATGCTTCAATCAAGATCTATGCACCTACATGCTCATATGTGTATACATACATAGATGAATATGTACAAGTGTTTAGAGCAGACAGTACCGCTCAGATATCGTCGGCGATTGAAACATGTGTCGTCAATATGGTGTGAAAAACGTGCCACAAGTGTGTGAACAGTGGCATGTTTCAAAGGAATTCAAGGAAATTTGAGTAGAACCGAAAAATATTTTTTCCCTTGCTATTATAAATTTTGTTCTAAGATGTTAGAAATTTTAAAGATCGAAATAAATTTTAAGAATAAAAAAAATGAATAACATTACATTATTTTATTAAGAAAAACTCAAATTTTCATTTATGACAAACGGAAAATATATCTAAACAAAAATTTAGCAAAAAGTAAATAAATATTTATATTTTTGGAGTTTGCGTATACAAAATTGATAAGCCATTTAATATTTGTTTCAAGCTCTATATTGCAATTAATATAATTATCAAGTATTTATATACATAAATTGTTTATTTCTGTTATTAATTTTTTATTATTTTTTTTTCATTATTACCAAAGTTTTTGTTACTGAAATTATTTTAATTTATTATTTTTTTACTTTCTTATTTTATTTGTAGTATAATTGCTATTATATTTCATTTCGGACGAAGTTATATATTATTTTTTAAAATAATTATTTTTTCTTTTGAATTTAACACTGAGCACATTTTAATTGCGGCTCATAAAATATTATGCTAACATTATTTCATAACAATCTATTTTTCTTGTGAACAAATACAATAAAAATTGTTAAATATTTGACATTGAGTTGCGCAAAAAACTAATAAACACAAGAAGTCTTAATTTTCTTGCACTTTACACTTTGCTATTTGTCACAAAAAATGTAGCATATACAATACATATGTATGTATGTATGTATGTACATTGTACACATACATAAAATAATATAATTTTTTTTAGTTTCATTTTTACATATAAATCTCTGTTGTATATTAATTTGCTTGTACAATGCATATACATATGTACTTGCTCAAGGAGAAATCGTTTAAGTGTAATTTTATATAATATTGTGCATTATTTAAATTGTTTCTGCAATTAATTTGTGTGCTCTTCCAAAGGTCAGAGAAGTGCGAGAAGAATCATTAAAAGCACATAATTGCAAACTGTAATATTAATAGCCCATACCCAACACAAAAAAGCATTTCAAATTTCAAATAATGTGAATTTGGCGAAAAAATACATGTACACTCGTATGTACATAATCAAATATTTGAATAAAATAAAATAAAATGAAATTAATTTAAATAAAAATAAAATAAAAAAAGGGAAATTAAATAAAACAAATTAAAATGAGAGAAAAAAATAAAATATAATAATTTAAATTAAAATGAAATGAAGTAAAATAAAAAATAAATAAAATAAAATAAAATAAAATAAAATAAAATAAAATAAAATAAAATAAAATAAAATAAAATAAAATAAAATAAAATAAAATAAAATAAAATAAAATAAAATAAAATAAAATAAAATAAAATAATATAAAATAAAATAAAATAAAACAAAATAAAAGAAATCAAAATAAAATAAATTAAACTAAAATAATAGTGAAATTAAATAAAACAAAATAAAATAAAAACAATTTAATATAATCAAATATAAACAAAATATCATAAAGTATGAAAAAAATTAAATATAAAATAAAATAAAAGCAAATAAAAAGGGAAAATAAAGAACATAAAAATAGAAATAAAATAAAAATGGAGCTAAATTTAAAAACAAAAATAAAACCTCAACACAATGGCGCAATGTTTACAAACAACTAATTCTTTACGCAAACCTTGCTAAAATCATGATAAATTAATCAAGCACCAAACGGATTGAAGAAAATGCACATAAAATATGATAATAATTACAATTACATATGTACATATATGCAGACAACAGGATGTGGTTTGTTTCAGGGCATTACACACAGACAAATTTGTTTAAAATAATATAAAAATTTACAAACATAAATACATACATACATATCTACATTTCATTATTATAATTTTATGTATTTCATTTCATTTTGCATTCAACAACACTAACAAACTAATACCACAAACCACGCAAAACAGCTGTTGAGATCCGAACGCAAACTATCAAATTACTTAGCTCCTATGCAAATTGAGGGCAGCTGTCAATTAGCGATAAAATATACACACATACACACCTACACTGAGGTAAGCTTACATACATATACACCGTATGTGTGAAAACATATTTTGTCTACTCGCATTTATTTCATTTTATTTAGTTCGGCAGAAAGCATAATAAACGCCAGAGACAGAGATAAGCTAAGGTAAACAACGGGACTTCTATGCGTGGCCTAAATAAAAATAAATTTTATTAATATTGGGGGAAAGAAGACTTTGTAAACATACATATATTTGTATGGGAATGTACCATAGTACAATAGTTAAAAGCAGGATTTCATGTTGGGGGAGTTAGGTATATATGTACATAGATATATATTTGACCTAGAAATGTGTTTTAAGAAATATGGCTTTGGGAGTGTTTGAAATGTAGGATTTTTTTTTTAATTTAATTAGTGGAAATTAAGTGCTTGCGTAGTTCGTTAACACAACGAATTAGAAATGATACGGAATATTTTTATTAACTATTTATTAAAGACTTATCAGTTACGAAAATCAATTACTTATTTTTAAAATTTTGTTATCACCATTGAAAACTTCATGCACTAATGCAATTGTCAATAAAGATCAAGTAGACATACTTACATACATATGTGATATATGTAAGTCGGAATTATATCCTGCTACTGTACTCAAAATTAAAACATGCATATAATCCATAAAAAAATGCAGAGGTGAGATAATCATTTATGTATATAAATATGTGAAAACGAAACCTTTAAATTATTTTTCACCTTTTCTTTGGTCTTCAAATTGTATTTACATTGAATTATAAACAAACGAAGAAAGATAAAAAATAACGTTATGGTATACATAAACAACAACTAAACAAATGCATTTTATCTAAACAAAACAAGTGAGAGATCTTGAAATATACCACATGAATAGTCTTTTTGTTGTTGTTGTAATTTAATACCAAACAAATATGCCCAAAATTAATGTGAATAATACCAACGACCGAATCGGTATTTTGGTGCGCTACTGTTGGGAGTAGCTGACAGCATGAAATGTTTGTATTTGTTTTCCGCATATTTGTTTTTAATTTAAAAGAATTTGATGGAAGTGTAAATAAAGCCAATTGAAATGAAGTAATAGATATTAGTTTAAATATTTAATATATTGGCATGTGATGGGAAAAATGGGAGATATGTGGATAAAAAAATTGGGCGAGAGATGCTTGTTGATTAATTTTTTATTAAATTTAAAATAAAAAAAAGCGTATATATTTTAAAATAGTTTAATTAAATATTTTAATTTTTTGCATCTTTCTTATCTTTATCTAATTTTATTTTAATTTATTTCATTATATTTTGGCTCAACGTAATTCCATTTTATTTAAATTAAATAATTTCAATTATTTTAAAGTTATATTAATTTTTTTTTTTACTTTCGGTTTATGTTATTTCATTTTATATTGTTTTATTATATTTTGTTTTGTTTTGCTTTTCATATCATTTTATCTAATTTGTTTTTTATTTTATTCTATTTTATTATACTTTATTTGGTCCAATTTTTTTAAATGTTGCTTTTTTCTTTTGATTTCATTTGATCTAATTTTATTTTGTTTTTATTTCAATTAATTTCATTTCAATTTATTATGTTTTATTTTATTTTTTTCTTTTTATTTTGTTTTCTATTTTTTTAAAATTCCTTTTTTGTTTTCTTTTTAATTTTTCTTTAATTTAATTTTTCTTGTTTTAATTTACTTTATTTTATCTAATTTTATTTTGTTTATGTTTTTTATTTTAATTCATTTCATTTTATTTTATTTTTCTATTTTTTTTAATAAAATTTTTAAATTATTTTCCTTTTTATTTATTTCTATTTTATTTTATTTTTTACAATTTCGTTTAAATTGATTTGGTTTTTATATTTTATTTTATTTTAAATCATTTCATTTTATTTTGTTTTAGTTTATTTTAATTAATTAATTTTGCTTGATATTATTAAATAATTATTCTTTTATTTTTATTTCCCACTCAGTGGAGATAGATAACTAGCCGCAGCATTTTTGACACTTATTAAAGTTCAAAGAAGGCTTAAGGGAATAAGTCACACCGCATAAATACGGTGAAATTATAATCTTATTGTTGTTTTAAACAACAAAATTACACATCATTTCATAAATATGCCAACGTTATTTTTGTCTGACAACTCATGCTGAAAATATGTAAATATATATGTATGTATGTGCATGCATATCTCGGCGAATGTCTGAGACAGATTTACAGCAAAAATCATTGTGAAATGCTGATGGAACTAATTGGCAATCGTTAAGCTTGAACCTCGACGTTGCATTCATACCAAAAAAAAACATAATAAAATAAAAATTGAATGCATTCTTGGCACCAAAACGAATTCCCAGCTCAGACCCATTTGCTGATGGAATGCATGAGAATTCGACTGACTGAATTCTTGACCCGCTAAGCAATGTTGTAAAAGAACAACATCATGAGGTTGAACTTTTTCCATCTGACTTATTTCTACCTGACGTGTGATTTTTTAATTTTTATTTTCTTGAGTTATTCTCATTTCTTTTGTTTATTCACCTTAAAAGTTTGCAATTTTTTAATTTCATATGTTTAATACTCACAATTTGCTCTAGTTCCGTGATGGGCAAATTATGTTTGTTGTTGCTGCCATGGTAATTATTATTATTATTATTGCTGTTGGCACTGTTGTTGCCGCCCATTGTGGTGGGCGAGGGGGCTGTTGAATTGGAGTGTGAAGATGACACTGTCGATGATGAGGAACGTGATGTTGAACAATTGTTGTTGTTTGTTGTGGTCTTATTCCTTGGCGGTGTGGGTGGTGGTGCGGGACTAGTGGTATTTAGGTTGGTACAATCTTTTGAATTGCGATTTGGTGAGAGGCGTGAAGGAAAACTTAGGGTTTTCGTCCACTGCGCCAGACTGCGTACCATTTTAGTGAAGAGCAAATCGAATATATTTTGAAATAGTTTTTAAACGAAGTTTTATTTACACAACACTTCTTATAAAAGTAAAAAACAGTTTCGGTTTATTTAAATATTTCACAATTTTAAGAAAATATTTAATATTTTTTCAATAGATAATGGGAATTTTTGTTAAATTGACCTTTGGTTATTTTTTTATTAATCCAGTCGTTTAAATGTTTTTTCCAATTTTTTCGTACACAAAATAATAATAAAAAATAAGTTTTTATTGCAGTATTTTTGGGTCATAGAAATATTTTTATTTTCTAATCAATGTGCTTTATCATCGAAATATTCTCACTTGACACATGCACTGAGAGGTACACACATGCACATACGTTAAGTCCACAATTTCATGTTTGCACGAAATTACACTTTAACATTTTTTGTACCGATGCACAAGTTTCCGAAACGAACCGTACGCGTTAAAAGTTAATAACGTAATGAACTGAATTGTTGCACCAAAACATCATGCAAACCAACGACAGCCATTTGTAGGCAGAGCGCATAAATGGCAGATGGCCGAAAGCAGAGAGCCACAGCACTAGTTAACATTGATGTTAACAGCAACAGCGCATGAAGAACTAATAAGCACCACCACCAACAGCGCCAACAGCAATGTGAGTGCCAAGCATTGCATTGAACTCTTCACTAAAACGCCACCCAAGAAATGCGCGAGAGTGAATACAATATATAGAGAGTGGTTTACAGCACACAGCGCGAGCGCACATGCAAGTTTAAAATTTTGTGAATAAACCGTGGTTTGCTTTTATTATATTTATTTCGTGTGGGTAAAGAGAAAATGTGTGAAAAATGTTGTTTTTCAAGTAATTCCTACGTTAAATAGTTGTTCGGCTGTCCATTCGATTGATCAGCTGAGCTGAGTTTTGTTGGCATGAACTCACATCGGACTTAAAAGTATTAACTTGACATTATTCTTTCTTTCAGCTGTTTAGTTGTTGACTACATACTAATTTTTAGGGTTTGACCGGCTTGTTATTTATTTTGGTTTTTGTTCTACTGAAATTTTAGGGTGTATGCGTTTAGGTTTTCTTTTTCGTTTGTGTTGAAAAAAATAATTGGCTTAAAATTTAACCAACGCATTTTTGGGATGATATTACCGAGAGAGTGTTACCCTAGAGTAATAATTAACTATGAAAAAAAGTAAATAAATAAATAATAGCAAAACTGAGCACAAATTGCTTCAAAGTGGGTGAGAAAATTACCTCCCTTCTTTTATTTACAATATCGGTAGCGCTGCTGTAATGCCATGAAATTCATTATCAAGCGAAGCAAAACTTTTTCCCTATAAATTTCAATAAAATTAAAATATGCGCTTAAAAATAGCAGTACTGTACTCAGTTGCTAGCAAAAGTCGGTTAACTTCAATCTTATTAACATCAAAATGTTTGGGTACTAATGAAACGAAATAAAGATGTAAAGAAATAAATAGTTTTAAGTAATAAACCTACAAAACAAACTTTAAAAAATAAGTTAATTAAAAATTTGCGCTTTCATTAACAACAGAAGAAATCTTGAGTAGCGACGTTATATAACTTTCGCTCATTTATTTGCACTGCTCCAATTGTCAACGGAATCACAAAATACAATTTCAACATTTCTGAAAGTCAAATAAACATTTGTATTATACGTACATACACGTATATATCTTTCTTCATTTCAGCAAACCACAATATGGTCTGTTTGCAATGTATAATTAATAAAAAGAATGAAGTAAAAAGATTATAACAAAAATTCGAAGAGTGACAGCATTGGCGTATATTAAATATCAACAGCTTTAGTTTTTGTGGGGAGAGCGGGTGCGTACTTCCGTTCAGGCATTCCAAAAGATAACTTCAGTATGATATGTAAAGCGAAAGAGTTATAAATACACATGGTACATATGTATGTATATAAGGACGTATGTACGTTTGAATGCGTCTATAAAAAGATGTATGTGCTTCAAAGCATTTAAATTTCATGTATTTTAATACATTATTAAAACCTTCTAAAATCATGCTTCATTTTATTTTCATTTTAATTTAATATTTTTTATTTTATTTTAAGCTTTGTTCTTTTACTGTTACATTTTATCTATTTACTTGTTTCGAAAGTAAACGTAAGTAAAATGCATTTAAAATTATTTTTTTCATGAAACTCTTTTTTCTTTGAGTATAAAGTTTGATCCTTGGTATTTAATGTGCATCACTACATCAATCAAATGATGGCCTCAGGAATTTTTACAAACTTCGATGGAATAATTTGACGAGTGTTGGTTTTAAGTGCTCAAGAGTTAAAGGTTCATCCACATAAATACGACCTCCAGCGTAAATCCATAAAAAAAGTGCCATGGTATTAAATCGAACGTCTTGGCAACCTATTAACATCGCAAAGACGAGAGATTGCGGCGCTCGGAAAATTACTCTCATAATAAGGGCATATTCGTTTGTGTTGTGTGACATGTGGAACCTTGTTGTTGAAACTACAAAACTACTGGCAAAAGTCTTGTTTTTCAATTATAAGCCGAAAAAGTCGGTTATCACCCAACAATAACGCCCGTTGTCGTTTTCAAAGAAGTAAGCTTCAATATCACTTTCGGACCAAAGAACGCACCAGAACGCAGTCAGTTTTTTTGTAGGTGTAATGACTTCTCTTCAATTATTTGTGGATTATCGGAGCCCCAAATGTGACAATTTTGCTTATTTATGAATACGTATCCCACGAGTGAGAAATGTGCCTCGGCGCTGAAGAAAATTTTGTTCGAAAAATCGACATCCACTGTTTCTTGTTCAAGCATCTAAACGACGTATGCATGTACGGCGTTGTTAATGGTATTCTCGCTTCAATGCAAAATACGCCATAATGTACCGTTAGAAAGTTCCAGATCTTGAGATCGTCGATATATAGGCACATTTAGGTCTTCACCTACGCTTTCATTTTCAGTAGCGCTATTTGAAGTTAAACGAGCAAAAAAATGTTTCATAGGCCTTATAATATCTGTAACCGGACGATTATGTGCATCATAATCCCCTCTTAAAGCACAAAACGTTTCGATCACCATTTTTGTAATGGGTTTTAACAATTTTAAGGCGTTGTGCGCGTGTTAAAGGTTCCATTTTGTTTGGTTGAAAGTTAAGTTTGACAGACGTATTTTGTTTATTTTATTTTATTTTAACTTATTTTAGTTTATATATTTTATTTTCTTTAATATAATAATATTTTAATATAATAGAAAGGTGGATTGCATCCGATGAAGGTTCGGCTGTGCATTTGGTGGGATATCCGAGGCGTGATCTATTTTGAGCTCTTGCCAGCTGGAGAAACGATCACTGCCAACAAGTATTGTCAGCAATTGGTCGAATTGAAGAAAGCAATTGATGAAAAACGTCCGATTTTGGCCAATCGCAAAGGAGTTCTTTTCCATCATGACAACGCCAGGCCACATGTTGCAAAACCCACCCTGGCCAAACTGAAGGAGATGAATTGGGAAATCATGCCGCATCCCCCATATTCACCCGACATTGCACCTTCTGATCATCATTTGTTTCGATCGCTGCAGAACAATTTGAATGGATTTCTATGAATCAGGCATCCGTAAATTGGTTGAACGTTGGGAGTGGATTGCCGAACATGATGTCGAATACATAATTGATTAATAAAAGCGCTTTCTTCAAAAAATTTCAATTTTAGTTTGCACTTGAAATCGGGCATGAACTTATGCACTCATCCAATATATTGTAATATTATTTTAATATTTTATATTGTTTTAATTTGATTTATTTGTTTTATTTATTTTTTACTTTATATTATTAATTTATATTGTTTTTATTTTATTTCATTTTATACTATATTATTTTAATTTATTTTGTTAAAATTTATTTATTTTATTTTATATTATTTTTCTTTATTTTATTATATTTCACTTTATATTATTTTATTGCATTTTATCTTATTTCGTTTAATTAATTTAATTTTAATTATATTTTTATTACATGTTATTTTGTTTTATTTTATTTATTTTTATTTTATTTTATTTCATTCCATTTCATTTAATTTTTATTTAATTTACTTTATTTTTTTTTTAAATTAAATTTAATTCAATTAATTTTAATTTAATATAATATATATTAATTATATTTTGTTTTATATAACTTTTTATTTTATTACATATTGTTTGTTTTTTTTTTTATTCTGTTTTGTTTTATTTTATTTTGCTTAAAATTAAAATATATATTTGCGATTTAAATGCATAGTTAAATATAATTTTGCTTTGTGTTCGAACTGCTCAAACAGCCGGCATAACCGGTGATCAATCCGGCAGCTGTCTACATGTATGTTTGTATATACATACATACGTATATTCAACCACAATCGGGTAGCATATAAATTTATGTCTCTACTCTGCCCACCTTTTTGGTCGAGTGTTGAAAGTCGAAATCGAAAAATTTGTTATAGGTATGCCATTAGTAACAAAAAAAAAAAAACAAAAAAGCCGCCTTAAAATTAAAAAGAAAACAAAGAAATACAGCAACAAAAACGAACAATTCAGCACAAGCTGCCACACGCACACCACATTAACAACATCTTGCTTATGTTAACCCGGCTAAAACATGCCGAAAAACCTGGTCTCAACGGCCTTGCCAAGGTTGAGTGAACAAAAGCCGCACGGAGAAGAAGAAGAATAAGCAGCAGCAACAGCAGCAATAAGAGAAGATGTTTATGCTCGTAAGTGAATGCCATGTAGACTGGAGTAAGAGCCAGAGCAGTATTGAGTTTATGAAGCAACGGGCACTTTTCGTATAAAACAACAATAACAACAAGAAAATCAACTTATTTTGGTTTGTGACTTTTCTTTGGCTCAAACTCAGCTGCTCAACTTGGTTGAAAATCGAGCACAGCCTGTTGTGGCTGCGTACGTTCGTCGCAGTATTATATGTTTTTATTGTTGCCTTTATTGTTGTGACTGCTTTTACCGCGTTTTGATATGCTTGCTGTTGTTATTATTGTTGATATTATAGCATTTGTAGGGTTTTATGTTGCGTCGCCATATACATAAA